ATTATTATTAATAATAATAATGTTGTTGTAGTTTTTTATCTTTAGTCATATTGCTGTTTCCATGTATAAAAGCAGCAAAACACTTATAACAGCGTTTTTACAGCGGTTCAGTTGTAGTGTTTGGCACATTATGAGGTAGATTGTGGTTTCTTGCTTTAATATCATTATCGGACCAAAACCAATGGGATATTGCTACCCCACTCTCCTCTTCCTCTCTTTCTCTCTCTTTTAACCCCTCTATCCCTATTTTTCTTCTTTCAAGTTGGAGTTTTCTCCTCAAACTCTGTGCTGCTATGGCAAACAGCTGTGTACCATCCCTCGAGACGCTGCATACTTCAGTTACCAGAACAGGTCAGTATCAGAGATGATATCCACGCTACACACATAGTCACTCGCACCCTTAACTTAATGCTATGCAGTACAGCCACTAAAATATAGACTTATCAGTCCTATTAGAGTAAGAATAACCACTTGAAAGTTCAAAGAGACTTAAATTGGGTCTATATTATGCATACAAACAGAAGCAAGTTCTTATATTAATGCGAATAGTTATATCCTAGTGAATGTGGCCTGATGGGTAATTGCCTGACCCCATCACACTGTTGTAGATCATTTGCATTTCAGCCTGAAATCAATTTGATGTTGCCTGGCAGCATTAAAAGCACTGCTGTGAAGCGGCCCAGTGCTAGAATGAAGTATTATGAAAGCTGTTTGTTTTCTGAACACTTTAATGGACACTAGGCTGCTCCACTACATCTGACACATTCAGATTTGGTTTACTTTGTGTATTTGTATGTAAAAAGATTGAGGTGAGTATTTTTAAGAGGCCTGTTTTCATGTGCTTTGTAAAAATGTAAATGCTGTTCTGCTGTGAGCACATATTTCCCCACATCAGGGTGTTGTTGAATTTCAGGCCTGTTGATTTGACTTTCGGTGGCAAAATAGACCACATTTCACATCTCTGCTCTTTTTCTGATTTTAACCGGCCATTTTAAAGAGGGTCTGCATTTTTGACTTCAGTTGTTTTGACGTTTTTGTGGATGTTCTTACAATTAACATATTGGCAGGTGTGTTTTGGCAAGTATTTGTGTTGATTACCTCCGTTGGTAGCTACAAGCACAAAATAACAAAGTGCTAATAAGAAGGAAGCACCAAAACGATTGCCGTGCTCTTCCTCTGAGTTATTGAAAATCATTGCCAATTTTCTAAGTTGCATCATCTTCGACCCTAACAGCAAAACACTTTTTCACCTAGGCAGGCAAAGACTTTCACCAGAATCAGAGGTTTCGGCGGTAAACAAATATGGGTTGTGCAAAGCTTTTGTATAACTTTGGCTACCTTAGGCTTAATCTGAACCTTACTTTCGTTATATAAAAATGCTACATAAAACGCCATGTACGTGTCAAGGTCACATTTCAGCCCAGAATTAAAATAAGAAAATAAGATTTTAATTTTAAACATGAAGGCTGAATATTGTTTTTTTTCCCTTCCAAAATCGATTAAAAATAAAATGTTGTGATATAACACTTTTATGTTATTAAGTGTTATATTTCAATGTTATTTTTTATTATTATTAAAATATATTCAAAATTAAAGGTTATAATATAAAGTAACACAAGGTACTGGAATTTTTTTTTTACTGTTTTCATGTAATCTAACATTAAATTATGATTATTAAAAGTCTATTAATATAAAAGGTTGCAATATAACACTTATTTTATAATAATATTATTATTGTTAAAATATATTAACAACAAAAGAGTATGACAACACATGGTAGGAAAAAAAGAAGCCCATGTGGAAGCAGCCATATATAATGTTGTGTAATATATTTTTATTATTATGTGACTGATGCCTTTATGCTGCATTTAAAGAAAGACATTTGTAAGATGATCATTTCAGATCTTAATGGTCCTTCGTTTTCTTTATGCAAAATTATTTTGGGGGTAAAATGTGACCTGGATAGGTTTTGTGAGATTGACCCAAAAACTACTGACAAAAAAGTACAATGTTTCAATTTCTGAAAATCAACTTCATATTCATGCTGCCAACTTCAGGAGGACGTACAAACTGTTCATCTGTCCCATGTTGTTTTAGTATCGAGTCTTGAGACCCTCTTTAAAATGTCCTGAAAGGATGATAGGTCTCTGTTGCTCCTGTTCTCACTCTTCTCATCCGTTCGTTCACTAAGTCCATTGTTGTCCCTTCGCTCCTCTGGGCGTCACGGTTGTTTTAGAGCTCAGCGGACGCAAGGGTGACCGTCTGTGCTTTTGCCTCGGCTTCCTGCTCTCTCTTACGGTTTAGTTTTCTTCTTCTACATCTGACCCACCCCTCCACCTGTCCAACACGGAGCTCTTTGTCCCTCATAACGGTTTTGTTTCTCACACCTTTTTAAAATATTCATTCTGCCCTCCTCCCCACCCCCTTCCCTTTCTCTCCCTCCTTTTTAATGCTTGTGATGTCTGCATTGGCCTGCTTTGATGTGACCAATCATCCGCTCCGAAATTTACACGCAACCAATCAATCAATCTGCCCACACAAAAAACCTGCTTCATGATTGGCTGCTCACGGCAACGACCCTGCCTTCTCCTGTGTGCCTGTCTCCTGGCCTGCCCTGCCCTGATTGGTGGCTGCTTCCACGTGCCCTCACTGTGATTGGCTGTGCTCTTGGCGAACGGTCTAGTTCACCCAAATATGGGCTTCTTGCTGACAGGTACCACTTCTGTGAGAAGTGTTTCAACGAAATCCAGGGGGAGAATGTATCCCTGGGGGACGATCCAACCCAGCCTCAAACGTGAGTAACCGTATAAATGTTTGTGTTTTGATCTTCTGCTTCATTGTTATTGTCGTGATGCTATTCCTCCGGAGAGCGTTCGTTCAGTGATTCTCATGACCCACTCGATTGGGCGGCTTCCTCTTCTCTGTCTCTCGTTTTCTCTCCTCAGGTCCATCAATAAAGATCAGTTTCAAAGGAAAAAGAATGACACCCTCGACCCTGAACTGTATGTTTCACATTTAACTTTTCTCCCTCCAAATGTGTCATCTCTGTTCGCTTGTTCTGAAGTTTTAATCAAGGCGCTGATTTGTTGTCATCGTCTGACCTGTGTTTTCTGTTCTCCCTCCTCAGACTGTTGGAATGTGGTGATTGTGGTCGAAAAATGCATCAGATATGCGCTCTGCACAATGAGACGATATGGCCGTCGGGGTGAGCTACTTTTATTTGAGCACACTTTTATGTGACACATTCTACTGCAAAATAGGGCTTAAAAAATGGAGTGTTAGTGAATGTAGTTTTTCCTGTTAAATACAATCCTGATTCATGCATTTAAAGCAATAAAATGAACAAAATAACATTGTATAAATGTTATTTATAGTTCTTGATAAATATATTTCCCCTTTATATATATAGCGCTAAAACAAGATATTCTTCCATTCCATGTTTTTCAGAGCTTTGTGGCAATTGTAAATATGTAAGATGTAGGACAACTTAATGCTCTGTTACTACTACTTTTTGATTATTACTATTCCGTATTGTATCTATAAATGCAAAGTTAACCACATATCCAGAGATGTAATGATCTGTTTCCAAATATCCTGCTCTGTATTTCTTCCTTTCATTCAGGTTTGTTTGTGACGGCTGTCTGAAAAAGGCCAGTGCAACAAGGAAGGAGAATAAATACTCTGCAAAGAGTACGTGATTTTAAGAGCTTTAAAATCAGGGGGGAAAAAATCCCTTTTGTTGAATTGTTTGTGCATAGAATTCCATGCTTGACTGATGAGAAACAAGTATTTCTGAGAGCCGTGTAATAAAAAAATGTAATGTCAGATCTTGAGTGAATATGGTGTGTTGCACTGTTTTATGGTAATGAATTGTCATAATGTATTGTAAACTGCTATGGTTGCATTATTTTAAACTCCCTGCATTTCTTTCTCCTTACTCCAGGACTTCCTCAGACAAAGCTTGGTAACTTCCTGGAGACACGAGTGAACGAGTACCTGAAGCGCCAGAGTCATCCAGAAACCGGTGATGTCACCATCCGTGTGGTTCATGTCTCTGATAAAGTGGTGGAGGTCAAACCTGGCATGAAGTCCAGGTGAGAGACAGAGCAGAATATTCTGAAACGTTGTTCATTTTAAAGGGGTCATATGATGCGATTTCAAGTTTTCCTTTCTCTTTGGAGTGTTACAAGCTGATTGTGCATAGATAAGATCCCTGAAGTTGCAAAGACTAAAGTCTCAAAACCAAAGAGATATAC